AGGAAAAGTAGACACGGTCGAATGTAAATGCAGGCGAGGCGTAATTAGCCGCGGACCGTGTTCTGCTTGTACCTGCGAGTCAGCGATCGTAACTCGCTCGATTATTCGGTTGATAGTCGAGTTTCTAATTCAAGTCGAGATATTAGAATGTCTAGCCTTCTTCTTCTTCTTCTTCTTCTTCTTTTTCTTCTTCTTCTTCTTCTTAAATCCAACGAGTATCGTGACTGTTTCGTTTTCCATGGTTAGAAAATAGGCTTACTTAGAGGATCCTTTTTAATTAGGCACGATGATTCGTGAGGAACGTTCCTTATAATCATGCCGAGGCTTTTCGAACGAAACGGCCAGCATAACGAATCCGAGGTTCAATCGGAATATTGGGCATTTCTTTGAGATTTGTTCTCTTTAGATAGCCGTATTAAACAACTTTCTTAAATTTCTCAAATATCACGACGCGCTAAAAAAATTCTTAATTAACGAAAAAAAGAGAAGAAAAAAATCCGATGTTCATCTTTTCAACACAAATATACCGAAACGAATCGCCTCCTTAAAGATGTACGACTTCCAAAAGAATGTCTAATTAACATTACTATCGTGTGAGATAAAGTTGGCAATTCAGGAAAAGTAAATGGCCGAATCTGCAACAGGAGTGGCCGATTGCGTCTCGAGAGGCTGAACGCGAATTGATTAACGTCGGTCAATTAGTCACGCTCGTTCTACGGTTTCTAAAAAGCGCGACCTGGATACGAATATTTCGCCTCGTAAATACCCCCCCGGTATATAGCCGCATAAAGTACAACCGTGTAAGTACTATGTGTACGTGCGTGGATGCATGTGTACGCGTGTTCAAGGTTGCTGAAGCGAGGCACGTTAGGTTGCACCGCGGTGTACGCGATCTCGCGTGCCTCTAATGCGTTTTCAGAAGGCGACGTCTGCCGTAATACGCGACCGGCCGCGCAGAACCACTCACGTGGACTCTAAACGCGCCTCACTGCAACAAATTGCCGGTATCAACTTGAAAATCGTGCGTGGGCGTTCGTGACACACTGATGCCTTAAGTTTGGCCTCGTTCGAGAAAACAGACTTTCGACCGGTTCAAACGAACTTTTCAACAGTTACTACGGATATCTCGTTACCGAAGATATCGAATTTCGCGGATTCTACCGACGAGCCGTGTTTACTCAAATCACTTCCTCAAACGCGAAGAGTACTCTGAAGGATCAGCTAGGTCGATTGTCTTAATTTAGATCGATTAACTTGATATATTATACAGGGTGTTTCAGCTGAAATGCACATCACTTACGTATCTCCTTCAGTTGTGACGATACGACAAATATTTCATATGCCATTTCAATGATATCAAAGGACAAATATAAATAATTTGTTGCAAGGTTATTTTTTTTCGAAGTTTTCAAGGTTATTAATTTTTTTTCGCATATAGATACTTCTTTTTTTTCTCTCGCTTATTAATATCTCGCATTAAAATACGCTCAGAGATGCATAATAATATAACCTTGAAATTAACTTTGACTCTTAAAGTTAAAATTAAACGTGAAATTTATTTCGATCGTCTTCCGTCGTCGGTGATTAGGCTGGCCTGTTTGAGATAAGACATCCTGTGGTGTGTGAGATATTTAGTAGGTATTTAGGAGTGCCATTGAATGATACGATTTTTTGGTTATGTTTAAACATCTCCCAAAAGTGAAGACCCTTTATCTACCACAGCTGCTTATCGAAATCTTATCTTGAGCACATATATGTATGTATATTGCTTGAAATATCAGCTGCTTGAATCACAAGTTCGAGGAAGTACCGTATGCCTACGTCACTAGATTTTATTTTCGTCGTTTACGAAACTAGCGAATTTCCACGAGAAAAAAAAGAAACGATCGAAAAATTTATTTTTCTCGAGATTCTCTATTTTTACCGTAACATAAGCATGGTAACGTAACCTCCGCTAGTAAAAGATGTGAGATCGGTATTCCCGAGTAGCTAGGCGGCGGAAATTTTCCAAACTTCACCGGTGCTTCATAAGAATTTCAAATAAACGAGCACCCGATGGTCGTAGCATGCGAAAGCGTGTATTGTATCGTATAAACAGGCGTTGAAATAGCATGTGCTGGAAAGCGCAGATCGCTCGCAGGAAGTAACAAGTTCATTATAAATCGACGATGCCCGCCATCCGTTCGAGCATCCTTCTTTTTCCTCCCTATTTGAATGCCGCGGATTAATTGATAGGATCGTGTGTTGTGCGCCGAGGGCCACAGGGTGCATCGCGCGGCGCGCAGGTACCATGCACCATTTGCCACTAATTACCGCGTTCACCCGCGTTCCTACAAATTAATTAACCCGAGAGGTCTGCCATAAAACGCACCGAAAATAACTTTGACCTTTTATATCGTCCCACTTTATGTGTTGCTCGTGAGTTGCACCGCAGGATTTGCATTTGGCATCCGCACTTACCTGCAAATGTTTCGGGAAACCCACACCAGATGGCTTTTCGGCGAATTCCTTTCTCGCGTGCTCTTTGTCAACCGCGGAGTTATATATACATGTTTACCCCCTCAAGAAAATCGGGATATATATAAAAATGAAGGGGGGGGGGGTTAATTTTTACAATAGTAATTAGTTAATGGCTGATATAGAATTATATATAAATGCAAGAAGAAGATCCTTCATCGATAATACAAATTCCCAAGGACCACCGATACTCGAGCGTGTGGTGCTGCACACTTGATTGAGTGCTGGTTGTGTGGAAGAAAAATTACAACCGCGGCGGCGACTGTTGGCTGTGACTAGATGGACAGGTTGATCGCCGTTATAGAATTTCTGCGGTTTTGTAATGGATAGGTATTATGTCTCCTGGCTTGACACGGTTCGGAGAACACCGGGACTCCATGGAACGTGTGTGCATCCAGGAACGCTCTAGCAATTTCTATGTGCGACCAAAAGGAAAAAAAATAATACGTTCTATCGAAGGGAGGATAGGTTAGGTCGATTCGAACGACAAATCGATTGGAATGATTTTTTTCAACCAGCGATCATCGATGTCCGAAGGCGAAGGAACAACGTCAGTGAAAGTGCATGAGGCTTGGTATTCGAACAGGTTCGGCCTGCATCGGTCCTGACACACGGCTGTTCCTTTCGTGGATATTCGAGACACACACAACGGCACTTTCTCTCCTTTACCGATGGATAGATATTCCATTCGAAATCGGTCTCTTTTTATTCATTTATTCGGAACTTGGCTTGGTTGCAGCTTTCGGCGAATCTGACCCCGAAAAATATAATATGGGACACCGATGTCTCTGCTTGGATCGATAGTAACCTCTTTTTCTTTTTAAGAGCTATTTATCCCAAGTATATCGTGTTTTATTACGATCACGCGATCATACACGTAATATGTCATCGATACTATCGTATATAGACATTTATAATTGAAGGCTTTATACCGTTTATTCAATAGCCAGTTGTCGTTGAATCTATTAACGGATATTGAATATTTACACGATAATAGCAGGAATATTTTACCACGATGAGAATAGAGTCGAACCTATAATACATCAACTCCTTCGCGGACATTGTGCAAAAGAGATAAGGCTTCGATTCTTTGAAGACGCAAGGAAGTACACCTATGCTGCATTATAATAGGGACGATGTCGCGGCAAAGGCGACAGGATGTCGCTCTCACTGTCAATTACCCGCAGATGTTACCGTCACAGTAAAAACTCTGTCTGGCTGATTGTAATAACACGGAACAAATTCAGATTGGATTTTACATGGGTGGAAAGGCGTGTCTGGTACATCGGGAACAATAAAATGCAAAATTCATGGCCTATTCAAACGGGAGAGTCATATGCACGCGGAACTTGAACAGAACGTGACATTTAGATGGTGAATGTGCATCGTTGGGTTATTTGGCGACGTGTAGGATGTTTGACATTTAAAATAATCGGTTGAAAGTTTGGATTTTTTTTATTTACTTATATAAAACGTCATTTACAATTTAAAAAACAATTTTTTTTTTTTTAAGTATACATATAGAAGCATTGCATTGTTTCTTCGATAGCCTCCATTTTGAGTGTTTTCTTTTTATCGATAATCGATGTCGATGTGCTTTTTCGGTAATCGTTATTCTTTTCTTAATCGATATCTCTCGAAGTTATTCTAGAAACGAACAATGGTGCATTTATGTAACATTACTTTTCCTCCCTCCGGACGAAACTGAATATTTTATATTTTATTACTTCTTATTTTTAGACCGGCACTACGGCGTTGTTCTTCGCTGCCCAGGGTGGCTACATGGACATTGTCAGCCTTCTATTGGAGCACGGTGCCATTGTCGATTCTTGTAGCATAGTAAGTTGGAACGAGATAAAGAAATTCTCGAGTCAGGTGATAGAGAAACGATGGACGATTTCTGATCGGAATTACAGGACGGCGGTACCCCACTTTTCGTTGCGTGTCAGTGCGGTCACTTAGATGTTGTGGAAGGTCTGATCGAAAGAGGCGCCAATCCGAACGCTTACATGAAGGTGAGCCAGATCCGTTCAGGTTTCATCGTGAAAAAATGTCACCTACCTAATCTAGAAGTGTTATTTTTAGTACCTTGGTTAACAACCGTAAGATTGAGAACGAAAAAAAAGTGTAACAACTTGTTTGGAATCGACAGGATGGTGCAACCCCGTTGTTCATCGCCGCACAGAACGGCCACGTGCGCATCCTGGAGGTTCTGCTGGAGCACGGTGCAAAAACGGACGCTGCAAGAACCGACGGTGCCACGCCTTTATGGATAGGAGCGCAAATGGGACACGATCATGTTGTGAGGAGGCTTTTGAAAGCTGGTGCGAAGGTCGATGCCACCAGACATGTAAGTCGAGAACGATCGGACAAAGGGAAGAAGTCTGGAATCGACTTTTCAAAAGAATGGCCGAGTCTGAAGTGTTTTTCTTTTGTAGGATGGCGCGACCCCGCTGTTCAAAGCGGCACACAAGGGCCATACCGCCGTTGTCGGTGAGCTACTCAAGTACCGCCCATCTCTTGGTATTCTTCCAGTGAGTAAACGTATCTCTTTACACGGGAACTTGAACTTGTTGACGCAAAACGTGAAAACAGTTTTGCAAGTTATAGGTCCAGTAAAGAAAATAAAACAATGTCGGATGTAACAGTAACTGATGTTTATTCTTTTCTATTGATCAATTTGAGATTACAACAAAAGATATAATTGCTCGTTTCAGAACGGTGAAAGTGCATTGCATGCGGCAGCTTTAACTGGACAAATGACTGTTGCAAGGCAACTGGTAGGCGCAGGAGCGGATCCTTTACTTGTGAACCAGGAAGGTGTTACACCCCTGCAATTAGCAATTAGACACTCGCAAACGCAGGTTGCCAATTATCTGAAAGATAAAGTTAAAGCGCGAACAGGAACGTCTTAGCAGAGTCCCCACTTATTATCCGCCCATTAAAGTAGAAATTAATAAGGTGAAGAAGACGTAAGGAGGGGAGAAAAAAATATAGACCAGTGGAAGAGATCAGTATTTCTAAAAACAGAATGTAATATATATATACATATACACATGTTACAAATCGAATGTACTATATTAGACACAGTTTGTAAACGGGATGATCAAGTAAGTGCAATCTTATCATGTTTCGCGTAACGTTAAACAAGATTAAAACTTGAACAGAATATTGATCTTTATTGCATTTGCAAGACTGTGGTTCGAAACTCCGTCATTTTCTTAACACTGTTATTTTCGGTGTACATATATTTAGAGATATCTATATATATATACAAAGTACATCTAAGTTGTTTTTACGATAGAATTATATATATCTTGTTAACACTGAACTCGTGGTTACATAAACGTAATATACATGTACCTTTGAATAATGCAATCATTTTGTTCTAATTGAGGGTTCTATAAGACTGATTGATTTGCCTTGAAAAAGAAAGTGAAATTAAATAATAATTTTTTAGTACTATATCTATTTCTTCCTGTTGGTTTATATGTTTTATAGAGTTAGCGTGGTACGCACAGAAAAGAAAGAAAGGTATTATTTATAGGAGAAAAAAGAGAAAATATATTTTATGTTCTTAAGCTATTCTCTGTGGTGATATTAAGATGTTTTATTTAGATATGAAATCAATGAAATATATTTATAATTGCTTGTTTGATGTTACTTTATAATATAATAAATACATTTACTGTTTTCCCAAAGTTCCGTATTTATTTATGCCGATAATGTTCTTGAAATGACAAACACTAATGCATTTAGTATAAAAATTCTGAATAATATAAAGAACAAATTTCCATATCTATTACTAACCATTCCTTATAATAACGGTACAGTTTGTGTATACATATTCAATAATTTTTTTTCTTTGTTTAATATCACAGAGTCGATTAAATTTTATTTAGATTTTATCTAAATTTTAATTGTACTTTTTGACATGTCTTAATCCGAAATATGTTTTCGAGTAACATTATATCGTTACTTGTTTATTATATTAAATATGTTACTAAAGTAAAACAAAACAATTTGCTTTTAATTTAAACAAAAATTATATTTCACAAATAGTTTTTGTTTTATATTCATATTAATATATATCATTATTTCGCATGCTTTTTCACATTGCATGATGCATACCGTAACTTTAATAAAAAAAATTGTCAAATTGTTAAAAGAAAAAGTTAAGAATATTATGTACGTGCAGAAAATGTACCATAGTAGTTTTAAAACATAAATAGTATTGCAATCGTAACAAAAAAAGAAATGGATAAAAGATCGAGTCAAAGGTGTGTAATTCACGTCGAAGCCGTCCTTGTAACCCAGCTGCTAAGTGCCTATTTCCTATTTCATTTTAGATGCAAAGCATCTTCTAAGCAAAGTAATGCAGTTTAACTGTGAAGCGTGTCAAACAGTTAAAAAAAGTAGACGTACGCGCGAACATATTTAATTGGTCTTTGCAAAATATACGTGATCAATTATAAGTAACGATGCCATCGTCACGATGAATTTTATCAATTATCTCTATTATACTGATAAGATAGATAACAGAAAATATACTTTATGTGCTCGATTCACTGGATTATCAGTAACGCACTGATTCTCAAGCAATACCAATCATGGTCCGCGATCGAATGCCGGAGTTACGTGCCGTTAGTATCTTTATCATTCGGCATATGAAAATTATCACTTACATTGTGATATTAAATTAAGAAAGTGTTATGTTAATAAAATAATCAGTAAAACCTACCACACTACACATTGACAAATAATTAACCCTATTCGTTTTAAACTAAAGCATTTTTTCATCAATTTCAAAATATTATTTTTAATGCTTCATTTTCTATGGAAAAATAAATATATGGTGTAACGTTTCTTTCTATTTTTTTTTTTTAGTGTCAAAATAGTAGCACTACATTTGGTAAAGGATTTTTACAAGATGTGCACATTCAAATGTCCCAAAATAAAAAATTACAAGAAGTATTGGACGAAGTACGTATATATAATACATACATATACATGTGTGTCATCGTTTAAATATCACAGACTTTTACATTGGCAACAGATATATAAATAATATTAATATAGGTTGAAGAAGTTCGAGGTTTAATTCAACTTGTCGTTGAAAACGTCACGATTGTAAAGGATTTACATAATAACGTTTTATCATACAGTAATAAAGGTAAGATCGAAATACCAAATGTTGTGCTTACTTAATAATTAACGATTCGCATATTTCAGGTATACAAAAAGAATTGGAAAGTCGAACACATACTATTTCACAAACTTCATTTCGTATCCAACGAAAATTAAGAGGTAGGTATTCTTTTTCGCGTTTCTCTATAGTACACCATCAAATAAAAACAAAGAAACAAAAATAATTTGTCTTACTTATCCTAATCAGACTCACTATCATCTTGAACTTGAAAAATATGTTTTCTCCTCGTGTTATAGTGGAAACTACTTAGTTCCTTTTCATTCGGAAAAAAAGTCGGAAGTCTTCTAGCTCTTTTAGTATGACCAACAGTACTATTAGAATCAAAGTCACAGTATGGGTAGGGTGTACTTGTACTAGGACCAGGTTGTGGATCTAAAATTGGTGTTGAACATATTGGAGAACTCCAACCATCTAAAAAACTGGTTGGTGAAACAGAATTTGCTGCTGTACTCCTACAATTTGACAATTGAGAAATCAGAATATGTTGTAATGAAACTGTAGGCTGTAGAATAGGTGATGATATATCTAAAGTTTTGATAGATGTGTTCTGATTATTACTCCCTGATGGTGAAGTTTCTTCATCAGTAAAATTCTCATTGTCAAGTCTAGTTTCTTCCAGTTGTCTGAAATATATTGCAATTAGTCAATAATCAGTAATATACATATCAGTACCAGACGAATTTATACATACTTTCTAAATTGCTCTATTTCCTTTTCCAGTTTTGGATATTCATTTAATATGTTTAATAATTGATCTTTGTTATATTCAGAGTACGTTTTAACCAAAATCTGTTTTACATCATTTTCTACTGGAGATTTTAGACCAGATAACTTTATTCTAAGTTTTATCAATACAGGTAACAGAACTTCTAAGCCATGTTTTTTTATCCCTTCAATAATAATAGTAATTGCATTAGAAGCTGGAGAAATTGTTTGAACTGTAGATTCTTCATATTCCTGTTGGTCATCATCAACATGTCTGTTGAAAGATGACGGACGTAAACGATAGTTACTAATTATATACAATGCATCTCTTAGAACGTATGCTCCTTCTTCTTTTTTAACGTCAATTGCATCGACGTAAGTTCCACCGAGTATCTGACTAGTTACTTTTACAAGTAATTTTATCTTTCCTGGAGGATCTAAATGATCCAACATGAAATTATAAATTGCTCTACGTTTATTTTCATTTATCTTTCCAGGAAGTGTTAAAGTTTTTTTTTCATTTTCACGCATTCTATGATGACAAATTTTATGCTGAGATTGATAATTATTATAATGATATATGCTTTGTAAAAATTGTTGTGATATTAATGTTTTATTCTTTGTTAAAAGTCGCTCCTCTATCAGAAAAATGGTTAATTCACGTATCATGTCGTCTGAATCTGACAACATTGTTAATATATGAAAGAAGAAAGGACCCTTCATTTTTATATAATCTTCAAGAAGTAGTTGGATGAATATCACCACAATAGCTTCTCTTACTTGTGGACTTGAATCCTTCATACTTACACACATGTCTGACAAGTATGGTTCAACTAATGCAGTAAATCTAATGCATATATCAGCTAAAGCTTTCGCAACGTTTATTTTCACGGCAATTTGAGCGATTGAATTTAGATTTGTTTCTTGTCTCATTAATCTACCAAATATTGGAACTACTTCTTTTGCAACATCGCGATCTCTCATTGCTTGTTGACCAAGAATAACAACTGCTGAAGCTTGAAGTTGTTCTATTTCTTTTATTACTTCTGGCAGTGCTTCCCACTCTAATAAAAATCCTTGCAAAATTCGTAATGTTAATGGTGAAATTTTATATGTGCATAAAAGTGTTGCATATCCCATTGTAAACATAGCTTTTAAATAGTTGGGTGCTGCTTCTAAAGCTTCATTCTCACTTTTAAAAATTTTTGCAATTTCTATCTCTGAAATCTTTATCAGATTTACCATATTTGATTCCAGTAAATTATTTTTATCTGGACTTAAATAGTGAATTATGTTGTGTATAATGTCCAAACATATACTAATTAAACCAAAGTTAATTTCAAATTGTTGTAGGCGTTTGTATAGATATATATGCAGATGTTCTAAAATTTCAAGATCTAAAGACTTCCAAGAATATCTTAAGACTTGCAAAACTAGACTAGTGCAAAAATTATTTTCTGCAACAATTTCCTTGTAGTTTAAAAAATATTTGTCCATATTTGGTAAGTTGGTATTTTCAGCCAATGCAACTAAGAAAACCCAAGCTTCTATATTATTATTTGTCCCAATATGAGACTGTATATTTTTTATTACAGTGTTAGTGATAATACCACTTCTAATCCATAGGCTACAGGCTTTTGATAAATGTTTTCTCATTTTCAGATTAGTTATGGTATTTAAAATTTTCCATGGCAAATCACTTGCAGTATTATCAGCACTCATAGAAACATTTTTTATTTTATTTAATAATAACTCTTGTAAATATTCTAGCACCTTTTCTTGTACTTTGATTTCAATATCAAATATTTGTGGTACAACAGCTTCTACCCATTCATCTAAAAGTAGAGAATTATCTGGAAATTGTTGTACAAGTTGGGATAGAACTTGTACAGCAAATCGGCGTACTATTAATGTTGGATCTCTACATCTATGATTAATTATAGGTAGCACTTTGTGTATGAGAGATGGAAATGTTATAGTCAAATTTTTTAATATTAGTAATGTACTTTTTCGTACCATTGCCCTTTCATCTTCTATTCGCTCTGTCAGCATAGTTATTAGAGCATTTAATCCTGGTAACAAGTCAATATCTTCTGATAAAGCATCCTTCATGTCAAGAAATGTGGGAAACTTCTTAGTTGGATCGGATTTTTCAAATATAGTTTGAAATATTGCTTTGTCTATTTCATTGTTAGAGTCTGTGAAGTCAGCAATTATTGCCATGGCTTTTCCTCTTACCATACTTGAACAATCCATACATCTGCTCAATGCAATTGCAAAGAGTACTCTCTTTATTCTAATTTTTAAACTATCTGCTATATTGCAATTCATGAAAAAGGATTCAAATAATTTTCCAATTACTTCTTGAGCAAATAATCTAAAAGGTATCTTTGAATGATGTGATAATAGCATTAAGTCCTTAAAGGCTTCTAGTGCAATATTTTGTTTACATATTCTAAGGAGCTTTACTAACACACTAGCTTGTTTTTGACGAGCTTCAAGTCTATCTGGACATTTTAGCATCAGATGTTGTACCAGTGTTAGTATTGCAGTTTTAGCTTCTTTCTCATATGCATATAGTAAATCTTTTAAAAAATTTATAGTGTGCTCACGTATATTTGTAATAAATTTTGCTTGGGTATCCATAGGGCCATACAGCAAACGAGGTAATATATACTTTACTATAAATGTTATAGTTACTTTAACAGGTCCATGTTTATTATCACATAATTCTTGCAAAGCTGCATAAGCATTTTGTGGCAATGAAGCTTCCAAAGTGCTTACTTGTTTATTACAATAGTAAGAGGCCATGCAATCATCCTCTATCTTTGTTACTTCAAGTAACCCATATATAGTAATATCTAAGGATTGCACATGATCTTTAAACCAAAATGATTTTATCATCATAATAAGGTTGCAAATGATGATATTTAAATTTTGTATAAGAATTTCCTTTTCATTGGAAGAAAGAGTAATGCTTTCATTCACTGATTCCTCCATCATACTTAAATCATCTAAATTCATTGTTTTATTACGTTTCTTAATAGGAGGTTGTAATTGCTCAGAACTTATTTTGAGTGTCTCTATAGCATGTTGATATAAATTTGGATGAAATACATTAAATGCACTGCTACCAGGTATTGCCAAAAGCACAAAATATAAGCTAGTAGCATACAGACATGATTGTCTTGAGTCCACATCAGCTTCTTTACTCTGACCTGTTTTTATTATATAACCCAGTATAGCTAATAAAGCACGCACCTTTATATCCATAATAATCAATGTGTTCCAAGATATTTCAGAACAATTTTCAAAATCATTCTGATTTGTACCTTCTTCTAGCCAATCTTTCACAACCATGCAAGATTCATGCAGAAGTAATCTCATGTCTTCACTCTCTAAAAACATGAGGTACTCATCAGGTGGTTCATTGTATATCATAAATTCTTTATCCCAAATGGATTGAATCCAGTCTTCATTTAAATCACTGAATTTAAAATTGTCGAATATTTTTAAAGACTCCATGGTAACAATTGCATTCAGTTTAAATCATTTTAAACGAAACTACAATTATTATCACATTTCTTTAACTATCTTGCAAATGTAAACATAACCTTAACTTATCATTTGATAAAGAAAAATTATGGTTTCAGGTTATCATTTTCTGAGTACGTATCGATAACAACTTTATTATTTCATTATGGTGTGCACCAACAGAAATCTTCGTTGAAGGTTTATCACGAAACATTTCGTAGAAGCTATAAGAAATTGTATAAGGGACTTTGGCGTCCATTCGAAAGCGGGAAACTGATTATCCAATTAGATTCACTGTGAAGTGCAACGTAAAACATTGCGACATACTATGTATACTTTCACATGATGTAATTTTATATAAATATAAACAGCAGTCCCGCGTTTTATCGAATAACTGATATGATAAGTGCATAGTAAAAAAAAATACAGTACAGTTAAATTTTATTATTAAGAGAATGCATTGATTGATCATGACCAACTATATTTTGCGCGCATATAATTATTTTATAAAACATTAGATCACGTGATATTAAAAAATTGAGTTATAAAAAATTAAGATGAATTTTGCACTAGAAAAAGTAATCAATTAAATAATTATACATTAAATTTTATTTTGTTCTTTGTAAATTATTAAAAATTTGACATATATTTTACAGAAATGGGAAAAGATGTTACTTCCATTGATGATTTCACTCTAGCTAGCGCGCGAGAGGGACCAATACACGTACGAATTAAAACGTTACAATATACGACGATGTTAAGATTATTTTGCGAAATTATGGAAGATTACAACATATCTATGTTAAGATATCAGGAAAAATGCCGTATACTTTTACATCAACAAAAAATGTTAAGTATGTTTTCTTTGAGAAATGCATTACTTTAATTTAAATATATTTTTATTACTCTTTATTTATTTTTCAGTCAGGAAACATATTACAAGTGAAGAACTGGACAAACTACTTGATGTTCAAGAAAACAATTTGTTTGTTGATAATGTAAGGGTCAAATTTACCCCTTTATATTATCAACTTTTATAAAATTCAAATAAACACGAATTGTTTTATAAATAGATTTTAGAAGACAGTAGAATTGCAAGACAACAATTGTCAGACATTCAAACTAGGCATAGTGATATTTTAAAATTAGAAAAATCCATTACAGAAGTTAGGGATATGTTTACTGAAATAGCATTTCTTATTGAAAAACAAGTAAGTGTTTTCAAAGTAAATCAAATAAAGTAAATAATTGCAAATAATTTTTAAATACAGAAAATAAAAATGTCCATTTCTTTTCTTTACAGGGAGAGCATGTAAATAGTGTAGAATACTTTGCTGGAACAACAGTAAATAATGTAGATAGTGGCCGTACTGGCCTCAAAAAAGCAGAACAAAGAAGTCAGAGATATAGAAAGGTATTCATGCTAAAAACAGTAAATGTATATTTGCCAAAATAGCAATATTATTAAAAGTAAAATATTTTCTTTTTCAGAGAAAAATTAAGCTTAGTATCATAATTAGTATCATAATTATTTTATTGTTGCTGATCATAATATTTTTATAGAGAAAATATACTTTGTGTAAAAATGAAACATTATTGTACAAATAACAGTGAAAGTATTTATTTTGTTAATGGTAATAACGATATATTTAGAAAAGTAAAAAAATAGTTGTCACATATTATTAATGTTTTTCACAGTCATATTAAAAATTATAAACATTTGTATATAACAACTATTTAAAGTAAAAATGTATTACTTATTCGTTTTATATACATAATTTCTAAAATAATTAGCAAGACCTTTTGCACTAGGTCTAAGTTTATAATTTATACTAGTACATGCAAAAAATATTTCAAGTACTTTCTCATATTCTTTTCCTAAATTAATGGCCGGTAATGGAGGACGAGTACCTGTGATCATTAAAGTAATAAATTTGATATACTATCTACTAAAAACTACTAAGTTTTACTAAACATTATTGAAGTACTTACCACATTTGTTATTGACCATTTCATTGAGGAAGCCAATACTATCATCCATGCTATCATGCTCATTCATTGATGTATTATTTCTCACTGGTATTTCTACCACTGAATCATCCAAACAAGATTCATCCATTTCTGAAGAGTCCACATGAGGTGATGACATGCTAATATCATGTTCATTCATTGATGTATTATTTCTCACTGGTATTTCTACCACTGAATCATCCAAACAAGATTCATCCATTTCTGAAGAATCTACATGAGGTGGTGACAAAGCTATCATTTCCCAAACAACAAGACCACATGCCCAAATGTCAGCCTTATTTGTAGTAGGACCATCCTCTGAAGAATCAAATTCATAGTTAACTACATATTCCTTCCAATTATTATACACACACATAGAATATGTACTAACCAAATATAATTTCTGGGGCACTCCAACACTCTGTTCCCACATATACAAAATTTCCTTTTGAAGTATCAATTTCTAAAGAATCTGTCAGTGGTAGTGATACTCCAAAATCACATAACTTAACTATTTTATAATCAGTAGAAACTAATACATTGTAACTTTTTATATCACCATGTAAAATGTGTGCAGTATGATGCAAATATTCCAATCCTTTTACAATTTCATATGTTATTTTCAAAATGTTATTAGCAGGAAATTGATCATCTCCAGATTCAAGTCTTTGTTCTATCTTATCACCTATTGAAATCATATTACATGAATGTTAAGAATATTTAGTTTTATGCAATTTCTTGTAAGTACTTCTTGTAGAATTATTTTTACCTAAAGAAGAGTCTAATTTTTCCATTAACAAGCATGGCTCGCCGTTCGAAATTTCTGCAAAAGCCCGAAAACCAACAATATTTTCATGGTTTAATTTGCGAAGTACGTCTGCTTCGAAACGAATCCGTTCGTTATATTTATTATCTTCAATTTTGCGATTTCGTTTCTTTATTGCCCATGGTGACCGAGAGAAACCGACTTTAGGTGAACGTTCCAGAGTAAACACATTAACTCCTAAGAGTATATGTAAATATTAAAAAATGTTAATACGAAACAGTATCGAACAAAAGTGTGCATATTCCTTTACCACATCCATAACCTATTTGTGTTAGGAATGGTGAAGCAGGTATTTTAATGGGTGTTCGCAGTTCCGGATTATCTTGCATACGACTTTTATATTTTTTTGTCGTCGGTGTCTTAAATTCACTCATTGTACTAAATTACAGGAGGAAATTATTCCAATTGAATCCGTCACGTTTCTTTACCGTTAGTCCGTTGATTTTTAAAATCTTCCTTTACTGACGCGTAAGTAATGCCAACTTAATGCTTTAACAGGAGAGGAATTATCAGTATTAAATTTTGCTAATAAACAATAATTTTTTCCATTATTGAATTCTTTATGGATGTTTTTCAAACTATCTTCGGTACTTATGAACTATGCAAAAAAAGAAACATAATTCTAACAATTATTCATAACATTTCATATTTATATGTCAAATTATTATTATTGGCCATCGTGAAAAGAGCGCCTTCACTGTGAATAATAAGGGAATTTAAATAGTTACGTTCGAACAGTACAAAGAAAGTGATATTTATCTTCTTACAATCAGTATTTTGTTAGAATAATTCAATGTCAGTACATATGGCATATTTTTCGATGATATATTCATTTACGTTTCAAAAAATAGCATCCTTATCGCAAAGCCCAGTCATAAACATTCGATAATTTACTAACCTTTGATTAACGCTATTAATAGAACATAAACATCTTTTCCCGACTTATATTCACGTATTTCTTTTTTTTTCGCCAAGTTTTTTGTGCAGTAAATTACCGTGAACGCCCTGTTTTTACTATTTGTTCCGTGCATCAGAAGCAGAACTCGATGATTTGGAAGATCGGACACCATGGATCAGTTTTGTATTACGTTCTATTATCGTCAATGTCTAGTAAAATTTCTTTAAATCGGGAACATATCTATTGATCGAATAATTTTAATTAAAAAGTTTAAATCGAATAAATTTAATTTTTGAAGGAGGATGAAAAATACGATTGTTTTACGTTGCCAAACTTAGAGAACACGTAACTTCGGACAGCACGTTTAACATTCTTAGCACCTTCCGGATGCGATAAATTTCTAATCGACGTATCGTCGTTCCGCAGCCTGGCACGTATGCTTCGTGGCTTTGCATTTTCGTTGGTCGCTCGAGTGGATACTCCATCGAGTGTAAGGGATGTCTCTAATGATGTTTTCCGCTTGAAGAAATTACTCATTTTTTCAGAAGGGCTTTTGGCTACCGATAAAGACTTGACGTTCACGTTAGAACGGTGATCCTTGTTGAAGATCGTCCTTCTCGGAAACAAAGGATTTATTTTCCCGGTAACATTTTCTTCTTCCTTCTCCTTTGACTCTTTAACCTGAAATGCGTCCCGTTTCCTCGGCGATGTTTTAGTACTTTCGAAGCTCGTCACTTTATCGATTAGATCCAGTTCTTGCGCTGTCAACGAGACTTCCGGCATTTCCTCTTGCATCTCTTCCGGAAAACGAATACTTGATGATGCGTTCGACGAAGCCTCGTTGAATATTCTGTAGCGTACCGGCGGTGGTTCTGGAAATTGTCTCGAGGATCGTTGCGTTGAAACGTGCTGTTGTAATGGTAATTCACGCCTTGCATTCATAACAGTCGTAACTATTTCCTTTAACGGAGAATTTTCAGTCTTTCTATATTCTTTCATATTTTCATCTGTATTCGTTGAATCAGACGTTCCAGTTTTAGTGAATAGTATTAATTCTGTAATTAAATCTTCTTTAATATCCTTCTGTTCTTCGAATTTTTCCTTTAACAGTGAATTTTCAATCGTCGCGTGTTCTTTCAAATTTTCATCCGTATTTTTACCGAATTGCATTAATTCTTCAATTAAACCTTCTTTAATATCCTTCTTTTCCACAGATTCCTCCTTTTGATCGTCACTTTGCGAAGATCCATTTGTGCGCGCTGGTTCTATCGGTCTTAAAATTACCGAGCAGCATCTTATTAAATGCTCACTTTCACAAGGCGATATCGTCACTTGGCCGCCCTCGAGGAGGTGTTGAGGATGATCCGGGCATTCGCTGGAAGAGGTACAGGGGCAGGAATGATTTGACGTCAGAATATTCGGCGCTGCAGTACAGGAGCCGATGAATAGTATTGCCCTAAACAGAGATGATCGATTAATTTGATGTACGTCCAAGAATAAATCGCGCGTCACGTCGAATTTTATTTATTACCAGAACAGGTGTCGTGACACGGTCCAGCTCATGATGAGATTTTCTTTGAAAATTAGGAGAAGAGCTACCTGAGGACGGGCTATGATTTCACTTTGAATTTATACCAGTCTACCCCACTTAGAGAACTTGATATTTGGTAATCTATAGCCTGTCTCTATCGTAGAGCGTAGGTATGTATTCGTTTTCAGAAAAAGAAAAATAGCACGGAGAAAGTGGAAGATTCTTATAACGTGTGTTAGACTTTGTCATTAACATCGCGATCTTATGAATCTTTTTTACCTCCATCGATCGTCCTCTGTTATCGATACGTCGCTGTATCATTTTAGTAGAGACGAAAATAAAAAAAAAACAGATGCTATTATCGCGTAGCATGATTTTATCGGATCCTCAACAAAATTAACCGAACGAAGGGCGTGAGAATATAATTATAACGTAGAAGTAAATATACTTCGGACATAACAATAAGTCAACCTTTTTTCAGAGCATGCGCGATATCGGCTTTTCACGGGGAAACACGGTGGTGAGTTCATCGAGGGATGGATCTCTCAGAACTTGTTGTGCACCCGTTTGCGTCTGTTTCACTCAAGTGATTATATTAAATAAGAACGGTAAAACAAGCGAGATTAAATTATCTACAATAGTAACAGAAGGTTTAAATTTCATACATCTTCCATGTGATATTTTAAGCTGCGTTCTTTTTCCTTGCAATAAAAAGAGAAAGAAAAGAAGAATAGTTTTAGAGTTCGGTAGTCATTATGTTAACGGGAGTACTTAAAGGGTATGTTTTCAAAAACGAATAGACTTTGCGTTTTGTTTTTTTCTTCTCGATAAAACATCGAAAATCTCTTCGTGTTTTTAATATTACGATGTTCTTGTTTCTATTCTTATTGAATATGTATGAAATTTTCTAGAACGCTTTTATGCTGCGAGGGTGAAAATTCTACTTGGAATAATTTAATTAATAAGAAGAAAGATACATTAAACGAGATCACACCTTTGTTACGAATGATTTATGGAACAGTAGTTCCTACGATCGTGTCCAGTGGTATTTTTGGTAATATGCTGATACTCTTAGTGTTATCCACTCCTGTGTTCCGAGGAATCGCTTACTTATATCTCCGGGGATTAACTTTAGCGCATGTTGGGGTTCTAGTGTCTTGGATACCCATATGTATGTATTAGATATATTGAAAAAATTATAATACTCTATGTTAATTGAAATAAAAATACACGAATATAATTTCAGTCGTTAGATTAGGATACGGAATGAAGAACAACTATCCGTCTGTTTTTTACCACGCTCATCTGGAACTGGTCGCTGTAAACACCTTTGCTATAGCAGGCATTTTAATTATGACCTGCTTAATCGTCGATCGATATATTTTCATTTTTTTCCCGGCACGTATGCGTAGCAGAAACGCACGCAAGAATGTCCGCACTTTCATCCTATGCTCCTTCATTCTTGGATTTGCGGTATATTAAAAAAAAAACATTTTTCATCATTTCTCTTATAATAAAGATTTTAAATTTCATTGATAATCGCTTTACAGGTAAGTGCTCCATTAACCGGAATGAGAACAGTATACGAGCAACAAGAGGATAGCGGTATTCGTTTCACGTTGCGCGAAAATACTTCCATCACGCGTAGTGGTTTATGGAACGCGTACATATGGATCATGGAAATCGCACTGCGACTCTGTCCGGCCATAATTCTCCTTCTACTGAACAGTTTTGTGGTTAAAAGGTTTTTACAGCTGAACGCTAAGAAGAGGGAATTTCAATCGGTCTCTGAGAAGTTCCGTACTGCAAATGTTCGCGATACGTCTTTACTTACTCGCAATCGAGGATACAGGTAGAGTGTTGAAGAGTTAAAAATGAAAAATTAAAAAAAAAAACAACGAGGATGTTAATAAATCGGTGAAAAGATTGCTACTTGAAGTATGTTTGATGCATGATGTAAATATGAAGTGTCCTGGGAATAAACTTGAAATTATCTTAAAAAGGACCTTTAGAGAAGAAAAAAAAATTCTTTTCAAATTATTTTTCAGAGAAGAACAGCATTTAGCTACACTGATGTCAGTTATGGCGATATGTTTTATAATCACAATGATCCCATCCATACTTCTTCAATTTATGTACCATAATTATGAGACTGTCGACGGTGGTTATCTTTTGTTTCGAACGTTTGCTGCTGTCGCCGAACTTTGTAATTTTGCAGTCCACATTATCATATACTTTTCATGCAGTAAGGAATTTCGCAACGAGTTTCTAAAACTTCTTCAGGTAAATACAAGTTTTAAAAGAATGTTTAGATACATGAGGAAGCAGACAATTTTAAATCGAGTTTTCTAATTTCGCAATACAGAATAGATGTAAGAAAAATGTTGTGGAAGAAGATTTTGAACGACCAATAGGGGAAATCGAAGATTACAGCCGACATGGTACGACGGTTCGATTAACACCTGAGCAGACTAAATTAAATTCTCCAGCTTCCGCGAGTAAATTGAATCCTATGGAAGAAGATAAAGAGTCAGAAGTATTGAATGCCTCTGATTTCGTTTAAAGATTACATTATTACAAATAAAACGATTTATGCACAACAAACTGTGTCAGTTTAATGCTTACGCTGATTGTCACAACGAAATGATATTTAATTCTATTAAACAGAAACTGTGTTATTTACATTAAAAACATGTTTTTTTTTTTAATATATTTGATATACGAATAGTAATAATCATTCAAATGGTACAATTGTGCTATCTCTCAGATGTACGATGTTTGATCCAATAATTATTTTAGTATCAAATTTGTTAATCATTACGATACAGATAGTAGGTGACACTAGTAGTCACAGACACATAACATCATCAAAGAACAACACATAACCTAAACTGTCAAATTGTACATAGTGCACATCGAGTAGTGCAATCTTACATGCAACATTTTAATTCAATAGTTTTTTCTTCGATGTAGCTCATTGACTGAATAATTAGGTATGCCTAAACGCATATAAGTAGCCGTTGAGAAAAATTTAAATATAAATAATCATTTTTAGATTTATATTTTAAACTTATGAAAAAATATTTATAAGTATTAAGCAAATTATCATAGTTTTGCTTTTTTTAAATAGTTAATCCTTAATTATGTGTGAGTTACCACGAGAATTAACTACTAAGCCATTAGCTCTTATTGGCTTGACTGGTTTAGACATTGCAAATCCTATACACCGTTCAATTTGGGATACATTCAGTAATAACCGCAGATTGGAAAGTTCTGCCATACAATTTAAATTATTTAGTCCCACACATGAATTTCCTACAGTAAAACCCAAGGTATATCATGTTATGTGTAAATGTAATTGCAAGATATGGTTCATATATGTTATTATTGAAATATTACTGATGCCTTTTAGAGAAATTCATATGAATGGTGTAAACCTAAAGGAATATTAAAACGTAATTGGATGAATAAATACCTTAATGAAATTCCAGCAGTTGTTGTTGTATTTTATGATCTAGATTGGAATGATCCACAATGGAATGAAAAAAAAATGGAATGTGCTTCTAGAGTGCAATCACTCAGGTACAAATTACATTAAATATTATTGACAGTACTCCTTAAAAAAAAATGTACTCGTTATACTTAATTGCTTATTTTTTTAGAAATGCTTTGGATGGAAGAACTACAAAAATAACTGTAGTACTTATACAGCATTGTGCACAGCCTCCACCAGGTTCTGAAGATGCTATTGCAACTGAAAGAGCTACAGCTGTTTGTGGAGCATGTGAACTACCTCCAAAGTTATTATATGTTTTACCACATGGAAATCACTTACAAGGGTATATATCTAGGTAATTAGCAAACCAATTATAAGTTTCAAGCTTTTGTTGTATGGTTTAATTATTCATACTCATACATATTACAGACTGGAAAGTGTATTATATGATCTAACACAAAGCTTTTATCACCATGAGTATCGTATTGTTAAAGGGCATAGAGATCTACTTAATAAAACTGTACAGAAAACTGCTCACAAACATCTATTTGTACGTCATCAATTTAAAATGGCATTTTTAAATGAATTAAAACAAGATCAAAATTTAGCTCAAAAGTAAGTCCAATGGAATTAGGAAGGAGCTTGTGCATGATTAAGAGATATGAAATTATTTTGTAGGCATTATACACAAGCATATAGTAATTTGTTGGAAATACAAATAACAGACACAAATGTGATGGAAATTAAAACCATTGCTTGCTTTATAAATTATAAATTATGTAAAGTAATGTTCAACTTAAATGTTCCTAAAGAAGCTGTGTCACAATTTAGACATCATACTGACAGGTCAGAGATATATATAATAAAAAATAGAGGATGTGTAATAAGTACTATCACAATAACATTAAATTGCTGATGCAGATTTAAAACATGGACTGGTCCAAAGGAACTTATATTTGAACATCATGCTTGGATGTGCAGTCAATTTTCTACATTTGCTGAATTGTTTAATGATGCTATTCGACAAGGACTTCCTGCTGTTCAAACTCAGCACCCTGGATATTATTTTCAATCAGCAGCTCATCATGCAAGCTTAAGACAAGCAGCTTGCAAAGAACTTTGCCAAGTACTAGAATTGATATATTTAATAATAAGTTAAAATTTCTATACAAAAATTATCATTATTTTGTATTATATATCGTTTTAGAATGTTACTAGTTACCCAGAACCAGATCCATTAGCGGGAGAGGAGAAACTTGAATTCTATGGACAACGGCCGTGGCGTCCTGGAAAATTAAATGCAGAGTCTGCAGATCCAGCAAAAGAAGCTAATGCTATAATACAGGCATTACAGTACAAGGAAAAATACACAGTTGACCATTCTGTAAGAAACATTTAACACCCTTCACTTTTAATGACTGATTATTAAGTATGCATAACTTCAATACTTTCAGAATATAATCATTGGTCTATTGGGAAATGCAATTTCGCAATTTAAACTCTACAGATGTCCAAGAATGAGGAGAGTATTAAGTACGATATACTAATCTAGAACTAATCTAAATTACATAAAATTTTTATTTGATAATGTAGAATAATTATGTTTTAGTTGTACAAATGGCCGAAGAATACTATAATTCGAAGGATTATGGAAAAGTTTTGACGTAAGTCGAAATTGAAATATTACGATACTCACGAAAATTTGTTGAAGATACTAAAAGAATTTTGTACTATTCATTAGTCAAGAGATTGACTCTAACATTATTTCCTCTAGACATATTTCATAACTTAACATCAAAATCATAAAATTTGATTGGCCAGATTATTGATGCACATGTTGTGGGAATATCACGGGGAACGGTGGCCCGTCTTAATCACAAATATCTTAAAGAATGCTTTGCGAGCGGCGTATCTATCCATAAATATTCAAGACTACATCACGTTAGCATTTGAAGCGTTGGGACCTTCCACCACGTTTTCAGAAGATTACAAACTCGCTGTTTACAATAACATTATTAATATCCTTCATGTAAGTAATGTCGGATTTTGATTTTATAACAATTGGTAATAAAATAATTAAATGACATATGAAATAATAGAAAAGACCACCAAGTCCGGAGCCTGACTTACCCGATGATGTGACACATTCCGCGGTAGAAAAGTGGGTAATGGGACTTAATCAGTCAGAACCAATTGTTTTTACAATTGATGATAATAATATGAGTTCGTTTATAGAAGTTAAAGCAAGATTTTTACAACCAACGTATGCTGTTAACTCTACAGTTAGCGCGGAAATCATTATTAGGTAATTTTTATTAAACCTATATTATTTTTGTATAAATCGAGAAGAAGGGTAGTTCATAACATAATCTTATTTTTTATTCAGAAATTCATACAATGGTAGTGTTGAATTTTCAAAAGTGTCATTAACTATTAGTAGTTCAGAATATAACTCAGAGTTAATTGTTACTGATGCTGAACATAGCAATCTTGTTTTTCATGGAAATGAAGTAAAAAAATTTCCTTACGAATTTCAAGTACCACAACAAAATGATAGTAACAAAATACGCATTACTACGATTTCATTGTATATGGGTAGCGAAACAACTTGTAGTATCATTTTGAGATTTTCTTCTGTGGGGAGAGAGACAAATTTTTTGAGTCGATTATATCCAGAGATACAACAACTTCGGTACGTTGAAAGTGTAACATTTATAAAACTTCCTTCAGAAAACTAATGCATTTTATGTTTATAACAGTAGAGGAGAATTCGAAACAATACAATCACTAGTCAATGCAGATATAAAACAAGAAGAATCTAGTCTAAGTATAAGTGTAGAATCAAATAACCCAGCACTTACAGGAGAATGGTTTCCCATTAAAATATTTATCAGCGCTAATGAAAACGTATTTTCAGCATTTTTAAATGTATCACTTGTGTCTGATGGAGTAAATGAACAATCAAGTACGTAATAATAAAATACGAACATTACAAAAGCATGTATCACATTTTTCAATTCTAATGTCATTAATTTGTAGCGGAATTAAGTTTAACAATGAACACCAAGCAATCGGTAATATCAATACCAATCGATAATTTGGATCAGAACAGTACAATTCAACAAACTATGTATTTAAGAGCTCATAAAGTTGGTGATCGAAATATTCATATGAAGGTATATATTGTATTTCTGCCTTTTTAATTTTGGTGTAAGAAAATAATGTGTATGACTTTGTTAAAATAGGTAGATTACTCGAGATCTGAACAAATTAAGGGATCTAAGGAATTAACATATTCATTATCAGTTGCAAAGCCATTTGAAATATCAACATTATTTTATACTACACTCTTTGAACCACTAACAAAAGGTTTTATTAATGAACCATTTATAATAATGCCTCATATTTCCTGTGTTTCTCCATGGCCTATAAGTATTATAAATACTTCTATAGAATTGGTAAATAATATTTTCACTAGTTACTGTTCGTTTATTTTGCATAGTAATAATATTACATATGTAATTACATAGGGTGATTCAGTAGAAAGAGAAAATGAAGATCAGTCAGTATCTGTTTTAGCTGATGTTACACTTTCTGAAGGTGAAACCGGTACAGATGCATATTGTTTGATACCGAAAGTAGGTGGTGAACAGCCTATTAGTACAGGAGTCTACACCATAAAATGGAAACGGTAAAAAGAGTTACGTAAAATTATAAAGTGGTTAAATGATTTAATATTAATGCATCATTGCAGTGCGAATGATGATAATGCATTGGAAACTAGTAGTAGTGTAACTTTAGCCCCTCTGTGGGTTGAAGATGCAGTAATTGGCTTAGAAGCCCAATTACCGGCCCACGGCTGGGTTCGCACACCATTACTTATATCGTATTTCATAAGGAACCATTCCGATTATATGATTACATTGCGATTGACTATGGAAACCAGTGATGCCTTTATGTTTGCTGGGCAAAAACAAGTAAGCATTGTCTTTAACTCATAGAGAATTGTAACGTAATCATTAATTTGACTACTTCTTTAGGTTGATATTTATATACTTCCGAAAAATGAAAGAAAAGTTGAATGGATTTTACGGCCAATAGTAGCAGGTTTTGTACAACTTCCAACATTATCTTTAACAGTTCCCATTGGTAATAATTTCATTGGTTAATATATTCCTAATAATTACATCTCACGTTTTAATTACATTTTTATATTATGTATAGATGAAGAACATAAATTAAGTAAAGCGCGACTTTTGGAGGTAGTAGAACGGTCAATACCGAGTCATATATATATTCTTGTAAGTATCATCATATATTTCAAGTTAAAGCATAAAAATTACATTATAATTTGAATTTTCTTTTTATAGCCAACTTCACAAACCTTAGAGGAATAAATGGGATAACGAATACAGAAAGGAAATTTTAGAGGAAAACAGGAATTTTGTTCTCTTTTATTAAAATGTATTGTTGACTCACAGATACATTTTCCACACATTCTTAACCATACAAATTTCATACATAAGATTATAAGTATCAATTGTTAAATATAATTTATTTAAGTTATTTTAAAGTGTAATAAACAAAAGTCCCTTATCCTTCAATACGCGTTCGATTTCATTAATGTGCACGTTCGTTGATGCCGGTGTCACTATCGATTATGTTACCATATGTACGATATTTCTATAGAAACTAGCCGTATTATAACACACTGTGGATACGCGTTGAGGTGAAGTACATAATTTACAGTTTATTTAAATTTAAAAATTATACAAAAGTTAAATGAAATGATGAATTGCAAATATAAGGATTGTGAATAATGATGACGGTACAATCTGATAACAGTTATGCTTGTAATATTTCTCCGGAACTACGACAAACTGAAAAACATTCGGAAAAATCCTTGACGCCTCTTTTTCGCATAAATTCGGAGGGATCTTTGGCCCGTAATCGAAAAATTTTAAAGGTACGATATTATTGTTAAAATCAATCCAATATGTGGTAAATATTAAGAACTGAAGTATATGATAAGTATTTTGAAAGAAATACTTACACGTTTCGTTTTTTTATATTACATATTATATAATCAATACTTAACATAAAGAGGATTGAAGAAAAAATTATTTGAAAATAGGACTTGGAACTTGCAAAGGCACGCTTGAGGACTTATGCTGCATATACACCAACAGATCGAGAATTGCAACAACGTGCAACAGAATATCGTAAATATTTACAAAAGTATATGCGAAATTTCACTCCTTCGTAACAAGTTGATTTCATGTCAGGTACGAAGTACGTTCTTTCAGTCTGATAACTCGAGCCGAACGAACAAACTTTCAAGTGAAAAGTTTGTTGATCGTTGGGATCGATGGATCAGACTGATAATTTAAAACGATGGTGATGGACTGACAACATAAAAACGTAAAGTAAATTTTATTACAAAAATTTATATTAATTAATAATATTTTACAATAAAAATTTTTGTTACGATTGTTACATAATTTTATAAAATAAAGAAAATACATACTTACGCTGCAATGATGATCCACCGCGATGAATTCTATGATACAGACCAATAGTTCTTATAAGAATACGAAAAGAGAACGCGTGGACAAGTACGAACGGAATTCACCTGTAGGAATGGAATATTCACGTTCATTTTCTACGTGTGACGGCATTATCATCGCTCGTAATTACTGACACACGGAACGTGTATGTACGATAGGATAAGTTCGTTTCAGAAGTTACCTGATAACGACCTAAACCAATAATTCGACAAAAAGCTATATAATGCTTCTACGTTAAATTCCATCTATAGGTATAAATTTAGGTTTCGACTTTTACAAAAGTTTTAAAAATGTATTATTATTATCATCTACAAAATTTTGCTATAGATTAAATAGAAACATTCACGGTGATTATCGTTCCGTGAAGACCGTCAAGATATCATTATACCATTCCAAAAATGTAATTTACGAGATATACCAAAACACACAGATTGTTACTTTAATTTTTGCTTACCTCTCCGTTGATAAGACATGCGCATTTTTTTATAAATCTATCTTTTAATCGCTGTATACTGATCAAAAATTTAAGAAGAACTGACACGTAACAGCTGTAACGAAGAAGGTCTCAATACATAATTTTATATTTCTACGTGGCATGGTCTCACCAGCTGAGTAAATAAATTGACATTGAGAATTCTTGGTTTGATCATTATAGGTAGCCTAAAAACATCTGTATCAATAATGCCTTTATCTTTCGTACATCGTTTCTTTTGTAATTTGATCCGAGCGGTAACGCAATCCTTTGTAACTCCAAGGAATGTTATAATTAACAATTATATCCGATTTTTTGGGAAGAAATAAAACAAATTTCATCGGTTGTTTCTTTTATTACAATCATTTATTATAATGAATTTTGAGCGACTGGTTTACATTCGTTGCATTTACATATAATAGAAAATATGCTTTTAAAAAAATGTTAAGAAAAAAAAGTTATGGCAAAAAAAGCCAAGTGATAGCAAATATCGCTTTGAGGTCATTTATCGCAAAGTTACGCGTAGAAACATAAACCGGTATAACTTTGCTACGCTACGTTACCAGTGCATTAATACATTATCGTTATTATATACCGAACCTATGTCCATTAAAATAATAATGTACCACTAAATATTATAAAAACGCCGTTCATTGTACTTGTAAATAGTTACATATATTATTCCTGAGGTATTTTTAACTTATAACATACGAATAAATAAACTGAAAGAGGAAAAATTATAGTTTTATCTATAATCGGTAGAGTAACATTAGCACCGAAGTATCTTCCAAATGGTTTCCTTTCTCGAAAGTTTTTAATATGTTGTAGGTTATCAGTTTACTAGTTTTTTAAGAATGATACAATTTGATACGTTTAAAAAAATATTTCATTCTTTTATTACTATTTCAAAAAAAATAGTACGATTTTAATAAATAATTTTCTGTGTATGTTTTTACATACATGTCAAATATTCTATTGTTATATATTTGCTAAATTAAATCCACTGGTGTGAAGAAGCACAAGTATTTTGGAAGTACATACAGAAGTACAAGATTCAATCATTTTTAGTACATTACCAACACCTGTACATAATATACCTAGAGTGTATAGATGTACTAAAATAATTATATGTTTAAATTAAATATGTTATATATTATATGAAGTTAATATAGTGTGCACAAGACTAATTGTTTCTAGTTTAATAATTGCCATTTACTTTCATGGTTTATATCTAAACATCTTTATCATTAAGTACTTATAAAATTGTTAATTATAGGAGCAACCCTTTCGGGATTGTTTAAGTGCACATGATGAGTTCCTTCTACTTCGTGATATTCAAATTTTTCAGCACCTATTTTTATTTGATCTAAAACTTTTTCGTACGCTTCGGGAATTTCAAATTTCATTCCAGGCACAGCACGAATATTAAGATAACGGCATTATATATATTTAATAATCTATGTTTATTAGCAAATGAAATGTTACCTTCAATCGCGGATCGCGTGCAAAATGATATCGCTCAGGCTCAGAAGAAGGTCGCAAACCACGTTTCATTAACGTTATTGCACCTTCTTTAGTTATAGAGCCATTATATGCATCTTCTACAATATCAAGCACTTCCTCATAAGTGTAGGATGGAACACTATCAGGTTGCAGCAATTCATACTTCAAAAATTTATCAATTGTATCTCCAGTTACATCAGGACATTTTATTATGTCTTTTACACTGGGGCTTGCAATGTCTAAACTTATCATGAAATCTACTTCATCAGGATATGATGCAGCATATAAAAATGATATAGCTCCTCCCAAGGAATGTCCAAGTAATTTTACCTATGACAATAACATGTGATTATGCAGTAAGATGTGTAAAACTAAAAAGTATATAACTAAGAGACTATAAAAAACAATATTATTTTACATTGACATAATATAAGTGACCATCCATGTATAGTTAGGAGTGTAATTACTCATATATGTGCATTGTACATTTTACTTTCATTAAACATATTTAACATAGTGCAAAACATATATTATTAGATAGTGCAACTTTTCAAGGTTGGCTGTTACATTTATATAATAAGAGTGATAAAACGAAGTTTACTGTGTTAAATACATGTTATGTGACGACATTATTGAAACTACAAATGGAGTGGTGAGATTTAATCCACTCGCTAACCTTATTCCATTTGAAATATTTGACAATTCTACGTAGTAGTATGATACCATCCCAGTAAACATAATAGTACTGACTCTTTGGATAATGGGAAGATAAACCATGACCAGGCATATCCAAACAAAGTATTGATATCTCATCGTGTAATAAAGGAATCAAATGGTCAAAACTGCCAGCATTATCTTGACGTCCATGCAGTGCCACTATTGGCTGAATCATTTTGGGACCCCACCATTTGCCTATAGGTAATTATTGTGTCATAAAGGAAAATGCTTATTTCAAAATAATTATTTAACATATATTTAATATGTAAATATTCACATTTATGATTTCCTTAAAAGAAATATTTTTAAATGATAACTTTTATATGAAACAAAGTTGCAGCTGAACTACAAAAGATTATTGCTTCCTTGAACACTCACACATGACCTATAGTTATACAACGATACCACATGACTTGTAATGTGTAATTTGAACCATGAATATCAATCAATGGTGATTGTGTATGATGGAACTTAATACAAGTCTGTAACAGTCAACCTTGTTGCAAATAATTTTTGAAATTTTTATTTAATTATTACATAACTGCTTCTTTGTTACAAATAAAGGAAAGATAATATTCAAATGTAAATTCATGTAAATTATGACATTGTATTACAAAAAATAAATGATCAAAAATGGACTTTTATATTATAAAAATTAAATCAAGTAAAAGATCGTTGTATAACTTTGTACTTGCTAGCTAACCTTGTTCCACTTGTAATATTTAACAATTCTAC